AAGTGCAGTGCAAGTGTGCTATCTTATTCAGGGAAATGTGTTAGGAATATATTTAAGAGCGAGTTAATAGACTGAAGACAGAAGAACTGTAAGAAGTGGCCACGCTATTTGAAAGGTTAGGTTTATTATGAAATGTTTGAACTCTGTTGCTAAAGTGTTCAACACTTGTAAGTTAAAACTAAGGTTAGTACGTATTTCACCTCACGTTTTGAGCTGCTATAGTAGATGGCTTGGGAAACTTGCTTTCTTACTTGGCAGAGTGCATGAGAGATGTCATTTGATCAGAAACTTTACCGAACTGTCAGCAGCAGACTATTTAAAAAAAAAAAATTTTTTTTTTTTTTGCATTAAAAATAAACTGAACTTTCCCAAATTCTTCATAATGATATTGAGGTTTATGTCTCACTATCACTAGTCATTGACTGTTTTCCTTGACAGTTACTTCTAGTTCACTATTTCAAGGTACGTTTCATTGTTAATGTGCTTTAGAAATTGGGAAGAATATAGTAGAAGAAATTGTTCTTATTTGTTTGATGAAAATATTTTCAAATTAAAAGTGGAGCTAAAGAACTATGACTATTCAAAAAGATTTACACAAAATGCCAATTTATATACACTGACAATAACACTCTTCCATTGTCAAAGAATATCTGGGACAAATTATTCATGAAACCTCCCCACTTTATCATGGATAACTTTTGAAAGCTTTGGAAACTGCTCAGTTGATGCAGAGTGCATGTTTGCCACTGCTAGTTTATTTTTCTAACTTAATAACATTTTAAAAGAGAAATTGTGTGTTTACACAGATACATGTTATGAAATTTTTAAACATATGCACATTTATAATATTGCTTCTGCACTGATTAGTTGCACAGTTTTAGTGACAGAAAAATGCTTGGTTGACTAGCAACGAAAATAAGATTTGAGGTTACAACTTTTTTTTCTTAATCACAAACCTATTCTCTACTTTTTAGTCAGGCTGTACAATTTAAAAATGAAGAGGGAAGAAAGCAGTGTTATATTTAACACTTTACGAGCTGATACTTATCTAGATAAACTCTGTACCTGTCATAATCCCCTAAAAAGAGCTGACTGCCTTTTGAAATTTTGATTGATCCTGAACTGTATTTTCATTACTATCATTTAATATTACACACTCAAAAAATTACAGTAACAAAATTATAATCAGTAAAACATTTTTGTAAGTAAACTAAAAAACTAAACAAGAATTTTGGTCCACTGTGTACCAGTTGATGTTTCTTGGTCTGCATGCAATCAAAACTTTTTTTTTTAGTTGAAATAGATTTTAACTGTTACCACTGTTTTTATTCAGTAAATAACTTATTTATTCAGAGATTATTAACTTGAGAATACAAATAACGTATCTTTCTAGCATTGCATGTTGTAATGTAAAATGGAAGGACTGTTGCATACTTGAATTTTACATGTCTCTGTCTAGCACAGCAACTACTGATTTTAGAAAAATGTCATTCTTCATTTATTTCTGAGCTGCACAAAATAAAATTCTTTTATTCGGTCAAGAGTTAAGCTTTTTTCATTGTAGCTTGAAGAATAGCCAAATGTTACATAAAGGATGATGCTTGTTTAGGTTTTGCAGTTTTGCACATGCTAGAGAGCAGATGATCACGAACTCCTTAGGTCAAATATTAACAAGTATTACCAACAATAATCGGCTCTTAAAAATGCTACATAAGTGTGAGACATATATTCCTTATGTTTGTGTCAATGTCAGTTGTCTCAGACCAGAAGATCTCCAGATGTCCCCTCGACCATAAATTATTTTGTGGTTCTAATTTTAGATCATGGTGTTAACAAATCCCCATAGTCATCAGCAGTCCTAACACTTGCTGATTGACAGCTGCCACACAGTTGTTAAGTAACTTTTTGCACACCATTTCAAGGAGGGGGAGAAGGAGCTACATGACTTCCTCTCATCTCCATGAGGAAGGTATGAATTTATCATGTGCTATTTTCTTTAATCCCATCTCCACATATGACCCTTGAGTACTACGTCTGAGGATGCGTATTTCATTTCCTCAAAACAAGAACAGAAACATCTTGCATGCAACCTATGACTGCATTACTACTGCCTACCTTTCTCTCAGATTTAAGACGACCCTCCCCCTGTCCTCTGGGTACGTGCCTTCATTTGGCCATTCAGGAAAGACTTGTGGGTAAAGGGCAAGGGCTTGAGTCTTTCCGAACATCCTGTTTTCTCCTTGCTCAGGAAAGGGACAGGCAATGTTTAGGCAGAAAAGTTGTGAGCCTGCTGCTGCATTTTCAACCATCCTGCTGGAGAAAGGACTGTTCCTCTCTCTTTTGTGTATTGTGTTCTACTATTTCTGCTGCCCCATCATGGTCCTAACTATTTCCAAGTTAGTCAGCTTGTCTGCTAGTTCCTTGGACAAGGATTACTTTTTCTTGGGCAGCTGTCTGCGGGAGGCAGTTAAACTGTGTGCTTATTATTTTCCATTTGTTTGTTGTTTTCTGATGGCTTGGTTTTGGTTTAAAGGTTGCCCTTGTGCAATTTGTGACTGCGATACAGTCTACAGCTGGTAGGTGAGAAACAGGAGTAATACATGGTGGACTGTGCCAGCCAAGAAGGGAAGAAGTTGAGGCCTCTTAGCCTGGAGTACCATTGATAGGTGCCCTTAGGGCTTGGGCGACCATAGTGTGTATAAACCTTGCAGTAGGTTTCAGTAACCTTTACTTATTTGGCCTAGAAGCTGTTTAGGTAGCAGCAGAACTGTTGTGGTTTTGAACCTTCTCTCTTTATATATAAAGAGATGGTATTTTACAGGTAAGCCTTACACTGCCATTAATTACAGTTTACTGCTTTGTACTCCAGAGAATGTATCTTGACTTTTCTGCATTGCTTCCTCAAAGTAAAGCTTCATATCAAGCCTCTTCGGCTTGAGAACACCAGTCTGGGAAACGTCTTTTTCCAGAAAACTGCAGATCAGCGTAGGTCGCCGTCTCGTTGTAGCCCGTCCCCTCAGCGCCCTTCCCCAGCGGCAGAGGCCG